CTGCTGAACAGTCATGTGTGTTTGATGATTGAAAGCTCCCTCCATCCCTGGCATCACTGCATTTGGCCGCTTGTATGCTGCATGACTGTCTCCATTGAACTACTGATTTTCCACTGCCAGGTCCTGTCCTTCTTTTTATAAGCACTGCTATTTCATCTTAGGCTCAATAATAACAGTGATGCTGCCAAATAACAACAGCAAGAATGCAGTGCTTACATATGCTAGGCAGTACACTTAAAGTTTTATATGTGTTGCCTCATTTCTTCCTGACCACCACCTTATATGATATACATTTTAACAAGGACCTTCCATTTAATGGTAGCTACCCTTTCTTGAGCAATCACTGTAAGCCAGACATTTTGCTAGGCTGTACATGTATTAAATGTAATCCTTACAGACATGTGAAGTAGGTATTTTATCCCCAATTTATAGAAGAGGGAACTGAGAAAAAAAAAGAGGCTAAATGACTAGGTTTACACAGAGAGCAAACTGATTAAATCTCAGGGTCTACACTCTCAGTTCACAGTTAAATAGGCTGGTCTATTCCTAAGACCCCTGCCTTACACTCCCACTAGAACCTAGGACCCCCGTAGACGAGTCTAGCCCAGGCCCTGGTTTCTGCCTTATTGAATTGTGTCTGAATATGATATTCATATACGGGGAGTTTGAGCTATAGTACTTGCTCATAGATTGTATATGTTCTTCAGTTCCTTTGCTGTTCACTCATTCATGTATCCATTCATCTACTTGTTTGGCATCTATTTATCGGGTGCTCAATCTACCTTCAGCTTTGTGCAAGGACTAGGGAATCGAGACTAGAAAAGCACAGCTTGGAGACAGACATGCAATCAAATACCATGGTCTAACAACAGACATAATAAAGGAGAGGAGCCTGAATTTGTGAGTCAGGGCCAACAGACAGGGGCTAGTGCTTGAATTGGGTCATAAAGGATGACCCAGGGGAGGCACTTCAATCAGAGGCAAGAGAATTTGGAAGGAGCATATGACAAGTTCAGGGAGCAACAATAGGTTCAGCAAGTGCTGGGATTGAGGCAGGAGATGAGAGAGACGGCACAGGAGGTCAGGAACCAGATCACTAGGGGCCGTGCATATCTTGCTGTAGAGTGTGGGTTCAAATGAAATCTTCAGATGAAGCCTGCTATTCCTCCACTACATAGAATTTATATTAGTAGACAGTAGAAACCACATCTTGTAATTTTGGGGAAATATCCCCTAGAGCACCAAGTTAATATTACTTATATAATGGAGTCCCAGGATTTCTTGTTGAATGGGAATTTATAATTTCTTAATATGTATTTGCTTAGCAAATGCCCAGAGAGATAACACTATAACACACCCTATCATGTTTGAAATATTCTTTAATTCTTTCTCTCTTTCTGGTCAGCCTAAAAACACTGAAAAGTAGATAGCCTGAGAGATCTGTCTGAAAGGCTTACTGATTTTAAATGATGTGTGGAATTATCAGGGGTTAGTGCACACACAAATACCTCTCTGCTCGGGAAGTTTACCTCCTGTGACGAATTTGATCTTCACCCCGTAAATTCAATCTTACCTCCTGTGACGAATTTGATCTTCACCCCGTAAATTCAATCTGTTGACTTGCTTATTTACATTATTTCTGATTATAGTTTTGGAAATCATTTAGAAAATGATAGTTACTAAAAGAAAAGACCAGGGGAAGTTTTAGGACCAAGTGCTTTATTTCTTGTTTCCTAATAAAACCTGATAGCTGCAAAGTTTTGTTGTATTAGGTACTCACTGAAAGAAATATCTGCATTTTCTCACTTCTGCATGTTTTAGTTTGTCTCAGAATTCCCTCAGTGCCAGTCTTTCAACAGGCTGGGGCATTACTCCTGGTTAACCAGCTTTCCCATTTTCTCTGCAGATGCCTACACCCTGCCAAAGGCAGTATAAGGCATCATGACTCAGGAGACAAAAGAAAAGATGAACACAAGGTTTCTAATGCATCTCCCCTTCTACCCCCAGCTGTGGAGGCTGAGAATGGGGAATTTGTTCTTTGGAGTAACTGAATGTCAAATGCTTTCTTGCTTTCAATGTGGTCCGTCATCTTAGAGCTCATTATTTCTTTAAACGTATCTAAAGATCACTTGGTAATTTCACCTTCTTATGCAACTTAAGTACAAGAAAAAAGGTGCTTAGGGTGTTCCAGAGTGTTTGATCCCAAGCTTTCATGTTGTCTCATGCCTCTCCTTGCACTGGTATGAGATAAAAGGAATCCAGCTGTTTTCTTGTTAAAGATCAAGGTGATCAGGATGGCGATTCAGGACATAACTATGATCGCTGCAGGGAGAGGAGAGGCTGTGTGATGTTTTCCTATTAGGCACAGTATGTCAGATGTATGTAGCTGTCAGAATGGGTCATTTTATGCCTATTTGTGATTTCTCTGCTGTTGTTTCTGTTGCCAGTTTTAAATTCCTGGCATCATCCTCAGTAGAACTGAACAAGGGCTGTTATGAGTGGTCCATTCCAATGGTAAGAGAATAGCTAATGTTTCAGATTCTTACTATGTTGCTGCGCTGTTCTTCACAAGTATTAACTTTACTCTTTATCCTCACAATAATGCTGTGAGATAGAAGATTTTATTCTCATTTTACAGGTGAGAAAACTGAGACACAAGGAGTTTAAGTAACTTACCCAGGTTACATTGCTCATAAGTGTTGGTGTAGCTGGAATTTAAACCCAAATAACTATGCCAGGAATAGGATGAGGTAAGAGAGGAACCCAGGGCACAAAATTTAAGGAAGCACTCTCTCTCAGTCTCTTGGAAGTGCAGGGTTCAAGCTTGAGAGTAAGTGCCTCCTTAAATTGTGTGCCCAAGGCACTTCTTTGCTGTTAGCCATACTTCAGTCCCAGCCTTGTAAATAACCTTGGTTTGGAGCCTGGGTAGTATTAACCTTCATACCGCCTGTCTCTCTGGTCCTGGCCCTTATGGATCAGAGTCAGCCTTCAATGAGGAAGTAGATTGAAGAGGCTGAAGAGGGGTCTGTAGGTGCTGAAGAGACTAGCAGAGATAAAGGCCTAAGTAGGTATCTTTAGATTTCTCCCTTGCTCTTGGCTGGGCATTCTTCTCTTGCACTATATTCCCTGCCACTCTTCTCTTTGATGGCTTTGTCTCACCCCATCCCACTCCAGTACAGGAAGGAATAAAGATACTCTTCACTTGAGAGGTAAATCTCTGCATCCCATAGAGAAAGCATTAGAACAGCATCACAGCGTATGGTATATCATCAGTCAGGCCCGGCTGCCCCCAAGTACCTTATTTCATCTTGTCAAGTCCAGACACACTCTGAAATGTGTGTTGGGGTCAAAGATAATCCAAGAATACATGTCTATACGGCATCTCAGGATCTTAGAACAGGGTCTGGTGAAGGGAAGTCAACTAGCCTTAGAGAAAAGGAATGGGTGCCCAAGATTTCAGGGCTATTACCCTGAAATAGCAGTGAGAATTCTTTTCTTTCCCAAACACTGTACTCTTGAAAATCCTTTAGTACATGTGGTAGGTTTTGAAAGGTACCAGACTTTTCCAGTTAGCTGACAAATGGCGAAATAATCAGTATATCGTTAGAACAAAGAGGTCCTTCTGTTCAGTCCTGTAGAACCCAAGACTTAGGAAACCACTGGGACTAGAGGCACTAGAGGCTGACAACACAGGAATTATCTCTGGTACTCTTCAGAGATGGACCAACCTACCCCTTGACTCAACAGGCCATAGAATAAGCACCTGCGAGCTATTTTGAACATGTGTGGAGGGCCAGCAGCAGCTGGGGTTATAGTTGAAATGAAGGATGGTGAATGTTATGATCTGGTAGCTTTTTAAAGCTTCTCAGCATCACACTGGAAAGTTCCTGACAGTTCTTCTAGACAAATTTTAACAGTGAATTCCCAGCAGACTGGTTGATGCTGCCTTCTCATCTCTTATAGACATCATGTCAACAGAGCCAAATGGGAAGGACCTCATCACATGGACAAGTCCAGCAGCACTAAGCCAAAGGAAGAACTGAACTGTGAACAAGCATCACTTGCCTCTTTGATCAGGTTCATAAATCTGGGTCCAAGGCGCCATGGCTTGTGTCGATGGCACTGCAGGGAGCTGACAGTCAGCTGGGAAGCCCGGTGGGAGGCAATGGCCACCATGTACACAGCATCATACATCAGAGCCGCTTCAGTCTGTGGAGGAAGACACATACCACATCTTCAATTCCACCTTTGCTTAGCTTCCTTTACCTGTGTAATCACTCTGCCTGCTTCCTTATCTTCTATTTTTCTGATCTCAGCAGCCATTTATTTTCCAGCTGAACACCTGTCATTCTCCAATAGCTATTTTTCTCTAAAATAATACCTCATATGCCAGAAAAAATTGTAGTCATGGCTCTGCTTTGTTTTAAGTTCTTATAAAGAAAAAAGAAACAGAACTTGGATCAGCCACAAAAGACTTGACTCAGGGAACAAATATTTTTGGAGTGTCTTATGGTAAGCCCAGTGTTAAGATCAACTACATTGAGTTAGAGGTTCAATATTTCAATATTGGATTCTGTTTCTCAGTATTTACCTATCTATCAGTCTATTTACTTGTTTATATTTGGTAGAAAGAAAGTGCTGTGAGTAAAATTAACATGTGATTTTCAGATAAGGATACTCATGTTAGGACACTTCCATTTACCAGAGTCAAGAATGTTGTAGTCATAGAGTGAAATTCAACGGCAGATTTGAAGAGACCTTCTGAAGAACAGACATGTGGAACTTCCTCAGAAAATATGTACTCTTGTTAGCACTTACTTTCCTGATAGAGATTATAAGTAGTCATTCCTTTGGGGAGCTGGACATATTCTTCAACTCCTCATGAAATTTCTCTCATTTGCAAAATTTCACATAATACTCTCAGCATTTTATAAAATATACTGCCCTGTGGTTTTCTTTAAGGATAAAATCTTATAATACCTTCATATTTTACTTGAGGATTTTCATAGCAACTTCAAATATATTAGCTCATTTGAAATTCTCAACAACCCCACAAAATAAGCAGAATAGATGGATTAAACTATTTATTATGTAGGAAATTGACCTCCAGACAGTATATTGATTTGTGTAAGGTCATACATATAGCCAGTAATTGGGTAGTTAAACCAAGAATCTAGGTCTTATAATGAAGACTATCATGCGGTTTTCCGAAATCAGTTGATTTATTCAACATATATTTATTCATCATTTATTGAACATGTCTTGATGGAGGTAGAAAGAGAAAATAAGGGGGACTACATATTGCATTCTATTAATCTTTGAGTCCAGAGAATATCTCTACTTTGAATACTTATTATCCTGTGCAATCTCTATCACTGCATTTTCCATATACTATACTTATAGTTATTGTTTTTACATCTCTTTCTTGATAAAAGTGCTCAACTTCATTTTTTAGTGGCTAGCACAGTTTTGGCACATAAAAGTTGTTTAATAAATGTTTGCTGAATGAATTAATGTTATTTAATGCTTAAAATAAAATACACTTTTGTGAAAACGGTATAATCCCAAGGTTTTATGATGTATTTCTAAGATTAATTGCTTCACTCATACTTAATATGAGTGATATATAGAAGTTGTGACGGTGATAATTGTTAAAGCTTAAAAATATTCTGATCATTTCAGTTCAAGTCTGATATAATCCATTTTATAGATCAGAAAACTGAAGTTCAGGGAAATTAAGTGACTAGTCTAAGGCTAATCTATTGACAGAATGAGACTGTTAAAAATGTAATCTATCATAATAGCTGGCATTTATTGAGCACTCATATGTCAGGTGCTATTTCAAATATTTTGCAAACATTTAATCTTCACCATAACTTCTACTTTATGGATGAAGAATTGACAAGGTTGAATGCAGGAAGCTGGTGTTAGAGTTTATGCTCTCAACCACAAAGCTGAACTGCTTCTAAACCAACTATTTGTCTGGTGATTTAATGATTATAATAATAAGTCAACAGTGGTCAATATCCATTGATGATTAACTACATGCCAGGCACTATAAGCATTTTACAAGTTGTCTCCTTTAATTACTGAAGTTAAACATTTGACGTAGGTATTGTCCCCATTTTACAGACAGAGAAATTGAGGCTTGGAGATATAGGAAACAACTTTAATAACTTGCCTAAAGTTATGTAGCCAGTAAAGCAAGGAATAAAGATTCCATCTCAGGATGAAAGTTTAGATTTCAGAGCTCATGCCCTTAACCACTAGCTATGGGGACCTGGACCTTTTTAACAGTGTAATATGCCTTTTTGAAACACTTTTGTATATATATTCACTAACTGGCTGATTGATTTGATAGAGGAGTGTGAGGAGAAAAATTCCAATGATCTAACTTTTTCATGAACTTAACATAGAGACTAGGATTTTAACTTTCTTTGTCAAGGCTGTCTCTACACTGGGCCAGGTAATAACAAGGTTCAAAACTATAGGCCTGACCAGTGCTTTCCAAATTCAAGGAAAAAAAACATTTATTCTTAAACTATGCTTCCCCTTGTCATAAAGTGTTTTCTTAAATTGAGGAGATATTTAAGTATTTTATAGCACAAATGAACTACCACTGAATTTCCTCCCCCTTTCAGTTTTATGCTGGAGACCTGCTTACCAAACAGCAACTCTCAAGTCATTTTAGGTAAATGTAAAAAAAAAAACTGGCTTGTGTTTCAAATATGTTTGTGTTCACATTTTATTTGCATCTAAAGCCTGGAAGAGACCACAGTGCTCAACGCCTGTAAGAGAATCTTTTTGCAACAACATGTATCATGAAACAGGCATATTGAAAGTGGGCTTCTTGCTAATGCACAACGTTTTGGTTATTACAATGATGTGCAATAAAGGATTAACTCAGAGGGCTCAGGATACTCAATCTCTGCACATTCTGAAGAAAGGACTAGCCTTTGACTGGCTTCTGGAAGATTATCTCCTTAAAATATCCTGCCTGATCAGAGTATCGTTGTATCCCTGTAACCCTGTTTTTTAAAGTCAGTATTTTTTCTCTAATTAAATTTATGTTTCTTAAATCTGAAGTCAAAAATTTTGGACTTAGACATGGCCTACTTCTTCTCATTTTCAGATTTGGATGTGTTTTGACATAATAATATTCTTTGAGGATATTTTTAGTGTATGACGTTCTAAGAAATTCTTAATAGTTAAAACTTTGAAAAGGAAAATAGATAAGCAGGTGGAAAGTAAAAATACATGTTAGAAAAATTCCTATATTATATATTCGTATGTGCATCTGTGTATGTATGTGGCACACAGAAAAATATGACTATAAAGGGCTACAGGGAAATTCACTTTGGAGAATGGTGGGATAATGCGTGTGATTTAGGAGAAAGAAATTCTATTATTGTAGGGTATTACTTAAATATTAATAGTGGTTATTCTATGGCTAATTTTTCAAATAATATTATTACTTTAGAATAATCTCTCTCTTTACTACTCATGTCCATTTCTCATTTATAGAAGCTGTCTTTGAACTTTTGCAGTATTATTTCAGGCCTACATGAATATTTTTCATTTAATATCTTGAGTCTTAGTAGACCTCAATTCATATTTATTTAGTACATTAATTCCTTTATTAAATACATATTTACTGAAGATCTGCTTTGTGCCAGACCTCTCCTAGTGCTGGGAATAGAGCAGAACACAAAAGGACAAACTCTCCAGCATCATGGAGTTTATGTTGTTATAGTGGATGACAACGAATGAATATAAATATGACATATTGTCATAAGGGCTACAGAGAAAGGTAAAGCAGGTTAGGGGAGGGGGAATAACAGGAAGGGGACTACTATATTAGGTAGCAGGTTCATAGAAGGCTTCTCTGGTGAGGTAGCATTTGAGCAAACCTGAAGAGGGGAAGGTTCTAGGCAATGTAAGCAGCAAATCCTGGAGATGCCAGAATGAATGGAATGCTGGACCTGAGATATATAGGCCCAGTGGAATTGAAACCAAAGGACTTTTTAACTTTAAGGTAGAGAAGAAAGAGTTTGAGTACAGAGGCAATTTGAGAACGAAGACCTGTTAGCACTGGGCCCGGGCTTGGGGACTTGGTGTGTGCTCTCCTGACTCAATGTTCAGTCCGTTGGATGCCCTTATACTTGTCCTTTAACCTTTCTGTGACTCTGTTTCTATATTCCCATATTAGCCGCCTCTACTAGAAGCAAAAAGGAAACATTGAACTGCAAAATGGACTCTTTGGATAAAGATCAACACTATGCTTCAGAGGATCAATTTCTGTGCTCTATCTGCATGACGATGGGAGCCGACTACTAGTGGGCAACTGAGTGCTACCACTTTTTTTGACTAATAATGTCATGCCCTAACATAGCTACTGTACCCAATTTTAGACAGTACAATTTTACTGTACCGTCTTCTGTCCTAATAAATCCCCATTTCCTTTTTATAGTTTATTATAATAACAATAACAGCAATAATAACAGAGACCCCTCTGGTTAGATGAAAAGACAATGAGAAACTCTAGACCGAATGGGATCTCTCATCCACTGGGACTTAGCTCTGCCATGCTTCCTGTCCATAGGACCACTGGGCCTGATTGGGTGAGAATGGAATGGCTCTATCTCCCTCATTCAGTGGTTTGCCTCATCTCAGTCAATATGTACAAACTGTTGTGTCAGCTCAGTATAACTGAAGGGAACAGACATTTCTTTGCTGCATTAAGCCATACTTGTGATGAATATTTAATGTTTGTCGTGAATCCACAATCTGTGCTAATATTGCTCCAAACTATAACACTTTTAGGCATACATACCAAGCATAGGTAAAAATCTCATCCTGTGATAGAGATCTTGTTTGGGAGGTGGGGTTGGGGAATGGGCAGAAGATTTTGAATCATATTTGAACACACTGGAATTATAAATCCAGCAGGAAAAAAAAAAAAAATTAGCACCTCTTTCTCTCTCGCTCACTCGCTCCCTCTCCCTCCTTTTCTCTCTCTTTCTTTAGCTTTTCTTCTTCCTTTTCAGAAGTCTAGAATTTCCCTGGGTATTCTCTACTTATTCTTATTCAAAGCAATGTTTCAAATCATCCTAAGACTCATTTGTACCCAAATGCTTTCTATCATTATCCTTCAGATCTCTTTGTGTATTTTGAGTTATTTCAGGTTTAAAAAAACAGAGACCTTGAACATGGGATCCTCCAGAACCACTTCATTTATTCTTTTTTTGTCATTTGTACCTCATTTAAAAAAGGTAGAAAAAGAAGAGAAATCCCAAGTTTATTTCTCTGTGCGATGATACCTTTCAGTTACCAGTAAATTGCATCTTAAAAGCAATAGTGTTTCTCCTGATGATGGGAACAGAGAATGAAATACTATGCCAATTTAAAATGCTATTACCTGCCCACATTCCCAATATCTTTTCCTTTGGATGACACTGTTCCGGCACAGAAATCTTTTTTTTTAAAATTTCCTGCAATTTTCTTCCATCACACGGGGAGCTTCATTAGAGAATAAAGCAAGGGTAGGTGCATTTGACAACAAGAGACAAATGATGTTAGTGAGAAGCTCTCTGACGAGGCAGTTTGCAATTTATCTGTTCAGCAGAGTACCTGTCTCTCCTTAGGAGGCAGGCTTGGCATCTGCTTCAAGAGCGACATATGGCTGGTATAAAGCACTGTCAGTGTCTGCAAAGGTGTGCCTCCATGTACCCAGGATGGGAAGAATGTGAACACATCAACTCTACGGAAATCCAGATTTTTCCACATGCACTTCTACTTGCTGAGGTGTAGCAGAAGCGAGGAAGGCAAGCTGGTTCTGCACAACCTTTATAGGCAATTGCTCCTCTCTTTCCCTCCCTCATTCCCAAGGTCACATTCCCAGGGGCAGCCCTCTCCCCACTTACCCTTGCTTTTGTTTATGTTTTGTCTCCATTTGGCTGACAGTGGTGGCTACTTCTGTTAACTTTTTTATCTGAGGCCATTACTCTCAGGAAGCTGAAAATAGTAGTTTTTGATAGTAGCCATGCACAGGCTTTCAAAATAGTAAGTCCCCTACATATGAACCTTCAAGTTGTGAACTTTCAAAGATTCAAACGTGTGTTTCATCAATGTCAGGCATGAGTGAAATTGAAGTTTGCTCTCCGTCTCCTATTGCTGATGATCTGTCAGCTCTACCATCTCCTACCTCCTCTCCCATCTCCAGTCAGTAACTCTTCTTGCCTGTTCACTCTATGCCAGCGTCTGTATGCCAGCTGTTGGACTGTACTACTGTACTTTTCAAGGTACTGTACTGTAAGATTAAAAATGTTTCCTTTATTTTTTTGTGTTTGTTTGTTTTCTATGTATTATTTCTGTGAAAAGTATTATAAATCTATTATAGTACAGTATTATATAGACTATTGTGTTAGCTGGGTACCAAGGCAAACTTTGTTGGACTTACGAACGAATTAGACTTATGAACGTGCTCTTGGAAGGGAACTCGTTCATATGTAGGGGACTTACTGTACATAAAATGTTTTCTCCTCTTCTCATACAAGTCAAGTCACAGGTTATAACACTTTTTTCTCTCACTATTGAAAGCATATAAGATTCCTTTTTCTTTTGCGGTACGTGGGCCTCTCACTGTTGCGGCCTCTCCTGTTGCAGAGCACAGGCTCTGGACGCGCAGGCTCAGCGGCCATGGCTCACAGGCTTAGCCGCTCCGCGGCATGTGGGATCTTCCCGGACCAGAGCACGAACCCGTGTCCCCTGCATCGGCAGGCGGACTCTCAACCACTGTGCCACCAGGGGAGCCCAAGCATATGAGATTCTTAACCTAACCCCTAAGGAAGTCAAACATCATCTCAAGTGATTTTATTTTAAAACTACTTACTGTCATCATGCCATCCAAAAGGCCAGTCCCAGGCCTGGGTGGGGCCTGCAGTCTCTCCATGGACCACTTCTCAATGATGGATGACACGTGAGGATTGTCAACATTAAGCAGCCGAAACCCGGTCATATTTACACCACTGTACCTATAGAGTTCCAGATCCAAAGCAAATAAGTCCTGTGCAGTATTAAAAATGATAAAAGTAGAAAGAGTTAACATTTTCTGTGCTTTTTAGGCAAAAGAGAACTAATGATTGCAGAAGCAACAAATGATTAAAACAAGAATGGAAGCCATCATCACACTGGTTCTATAAAAGAACATTTCCTCTTGTTTTTCACTTGCATGCTGCCTGACAAACTCTAAGTAATCAGTTTTCAATTTCATCCTTTTTTTTTTTTTTTTGCAATACCGTTAAAGTTGGTATAAGCCAAGAACAAGAATTTAGCTGCCAATAATTAGTATGCCCTTGGGAACAGGATGTGACATTCCAAGAAGCTAGAGAATTCTGTTCCTAGGATATAGTCTGGGGAATTGAAAGGGATCTTTGTGTCAATTTGATTCATTGCTTTTATTTTCTAGATGAGGAAACTGAGGTTCTGAGTTGTGATGTGACTGGCCTGAGAATGATCCACTTGTCAGTGGTAGTACCACCCTTCTCCCTCATAACTTGCTGCCCCAGGCTGCCTTGAATCTTGCAAAGGAGGTGAAGTTTGGAACTTGCATATACATTTGACTGAAAGATAACTTTCAGCAAAAAAAATCAAAAAACAAAACATTCCCTTGCTCACTGAAAATAACCTATGTCCCATATAATGAGAGCATAAAGAATGCCTGGGGCAAATAAGTCCTGAGCAATATTAAAAATGATAAAAGTAGAGAGAGTTAACATTTTCACAAGCTTAGGATAAGAACCAAAGTGTTCTCTTCAGAGAATAAACTGGAGCCTATGGTTGTGTTGATGTATCTTAACAGTAGTATTTGTTCCCTTTTAGATAATGTTGCAGGGAAAAAACTTGAACCCACCCTAGTATTTTCCATTACAGGTGAAGCTGAGTGTAAACCAGAAGTTTATGTTGGCTCATATTTAAAATAGACTTAACTGATAATTTCAACTTTTTCCTGTAAAGAAATGTTAGACACTGAAACATATCATTAAAATATCTCACATTTATGAATAAACCAAACTTTCAAAATAGCATTTAACAGTTAATAAAAGAGAAAAACTTCCATAAAAATTACTTACCAATGTAACTGCTTTATGAAAGAACAATACAAAACAGTACATTATTTGTGATGATAATGGTTACTAAAGAGAAGTAGCTTCAGAAACACTCCATGATTTATATGTGCAGAAGATGCATATAGATTTATTCTTTTGAATAACTCTTTTCTACATCACTAGTTCCTCCCAAGATAACTTTGGATTAGACTGTAGAACTATAAGAATGCATCTCCAAACTCGCTCATGTAAGAAAATGTATACTGCCTTTTAAATTGTTATATTTATTTCCCTTGCACTAATTTTTTCTTTAAGTTTCATTAATACTCATGAGCAAGAATGGTAGGAATATAAAAGCAAAGCATGGCAGAATGCAGATAAACCCAAAGGAAATTGCTTAAAGAATCAAATTTAAAGAATAAGACCCAAGGAAGAATGATTCCTTTGGCACACTCAATGAATAGAAGGAAAGTTACTCAAGATACAGGGGGTTCAGACAGAAACTTCCAGGATGAATATTGAATCCCTTATTAATTCAACAGTACAAAAATACAATGTGCTAAAATGGATACATTAAGCATGTGCAAAATTAGCTTGATTTCAAAATTGTTTCTATGCAGTATACAATATGGAAAATTTGAGTCCCAATATTCAACATCCCCTTGTTAGTGGAGGATGAGGAAAGCAAGAGCGTGAGGGCAACTGGTTTGTCCTTCCATTGAAGACCAACCTTCTTAGGTTTCTTTGTTTATATTTTTCTCAAATTTCAATGAAGCCAACTCAACTGGTGTGTACACCTGGGAAGGATAGGAAGTTCTAAGGCAGATGGCAATCTCAGCTTGAGTAAGACCTACGTGTTCATGGTGATAGGGAAAGGACCATATTTGTGATCAGAGTAAGATACTTTCCAGTTCTCAGGGTCTCCCTCAACAGTTCTGACAGAGGACCTGATCAGGATGTCAATGAAGGAGGGAAGACCATGGAAACTTTAGTTCAGGAATTTCTGCCCTGCATCCCACTCCCTAGCTCCAAGCTCAGGAGCAGTGATAATTTTGACAACTGCCCCAAAGCATTTGTCTCATGGCATCCTCTGCAGCCCTTCATGCTCTTAGAAATACTTGAGTTAGGAGTGGAATTTACTACTTCTAGAAGTATGCGTATAGTAGCTGCCTGATCCTTGTTCCAAATTCTTTGATTTCCCTAACATACTAGCCTGCCTTGCCAATTTTATTTGGTAAAATGATACTCTTACTGAATCTCCCAAAATCTGGGTAGATTTTAGTCGACACACTTTTATAGGTTAGAAATGGAGGTTGGCTCTGTGTTTTCTTCTCACGTAAAAGAGTGGAGTGTATGTGTTGGGAGGGGTGTATTGTGTGTGTGTGTGTGTGTGTGTGTGTGTGTGTGTGTGTGTGGCGAGAGCTATCACATCATTTTGATTTGTTAACTGCCTAAATCATTCTCCTTGATCTGATAATCTGTCAAAATTTAAAGTTGTATAGTTTCTTTTGAATTTCTCCAGCTTAGAGCCATGATTTTTCTTATGATGAAAAATGTTCAATGTGGAAAGCATCTCCCAAGCTCTTTATCTTGATGGTCTTCAAAACACCTGACAGGTGAATCTTGGCTAACCCAGCTATCCACTGGACACAGGTGGGGAAATCACATCAGATCAAAGAATGCCAAGATACACTTCAGTGTGCCCTCTAATGTATATAGAAAATGTAGATGATTCTTCTTTATTAATAGTTTGTACTTTGGCAGTTTCTATTTAATGAAAGCTTGATTTTAATTCTTTTCTGGGTGCACTTGCATTGACGCTAGTTAAGAAAGGAAAAAGAAAGAAAGAAAGAAAGAAAGAAAGAAAGAAAGGAAGAAAGAAAGAAAGAGGGAAGGAAGGAAGAAAGAAGAAAGAAACAAAGAAAGAAAAGGAAAGAAAGAATGAAAGAAAGAAAGAAAGGAAGGAAGACACCTGCTGTTCAGCATTTCTGGATTTAGAGGGTTCTTAGGAAAGTAAAACAAATCTCCATGACAATAACTTGCCTTGACACTGGTGGGGCTGATTTAAAAATAACTGAAGATTTTTTTTTATAGTGTGGAATACATTTCCACCAGATATGCTTACCAGGGTGGTGAAAAAGTAATGATAGTACTCAGTCATCATGCCCATGAACAGGATCTGCAAAAGAGAAATAAGAGAAGAATCAGAAACAGAATTATAATAAGAAATAGATAATTAGTAGGTTGACTGCAATAGCTTGGAGACATAGAATAGGAAGGGGCTTTGGAAATCCATAGACTCAGTAGATCAGAAACCTGAGACAAACCAATGATTGATGTGGAGCTAGGATCCAGGCCACTGACCTCCATCCAATGCACTTTCAGTATGCTATGTTTGACCTTCATGGAAGTAATTGGCCTGATGATCAAATTTAAAAATAGTTTATGCTCAACAAATTTTATATCTGGAGTTGTCCATAATGGCAGAGAGTTTTGCCTTTCCTACTCCCTGGGTTTCTGAGTAATCCCATGCTTAGATATATATTTTATTGATCTCCTTAGCTTTAGTACTTATCATAATGCCTCAGAGTAAAACTCATTAAATGTTAAATTGGCAATACTGATATGTAGATATATTTAAATGAGGATTTATAAATATGTATATCTCGGAAACCCTTCTCTCTACCCCTTTCCCATCTTATCCCATAGAGTGAGTAGGGGAAAAGAGGATTGTTTATAGATAGAAGGATGGGGACTATTTTTATACCAAGTCTCGCTGCCTCTTAATTCTGAGTCTGTTACCTAATTGGGACCCTGACAGTTCCAAACATCCTGTGTATATTGTCTTTATTTGGTGGGGAGGGGCAAAAAGGAGGTAGACAGAAAGGACAGCGGTTCTAGGTAGAGGTAGTTTCTTAAAACTGTGACCTTACTTTTGGATTCCTGAAAATGGTGTCCACTGAGAAGAAACAGTTGCAAATGCTTTGGAGATAAGATATTGTCATCAATCTTTTAAATCAAGAGTATCACCTTCCTTGGTGCAGGTCACAAAGGACTGTTTAAGGGCTGTATTTTTGGTATTTGCATAGAAATGAATGGAGAAGACTCAGAAATGAAACTTTCAAGACAGTTTCCCCCACAACTCTGATATATTCTGGATGCAAATGAGAATCCCCTCTGGAAGTTTTAAAATCAGATATTCTTAGGCTCCATCCCAGAGACATCCAGAATTAGAATTTCTGAGAGTGGAGCTTCTGTATTTCACAGCAGTGGCTGATAATCACTGCTTTATGGAAAACACATCCGTTTGCATTAAGGAGCAAGGACTTTCATAACTTCAGTTGAAGAGATGGATTGAAAAGTTCTTCAGAAAAGCAACACAAGTTATTGAAGGTTTTATAAGGTGTCTAAGATATGTAAACTAGAATGATTTTACATGAAAGGGGATAAAAAATGGAGAGGGTATTTGGAGACGGCTTGTAACATACACAAGCACAGATCTGACATTTCTTATGCCCTTTCTGCTAACATGGAAACCAGAGGACTATTTGGTGAAATTGTAACGTCATGAAGGTAAGACAAATGACAGGAAACTCTCTCTATGAATCATAAGCCCACAGTATGTAAGTCACTCCAATGGTGATAACAAGACCAGGTGCACAAAAGGATTTTTAAAAGGGTAGGATTGCTTTAGGGCCATCAATAACATTGAAAATCATGCGTGGTGAGGTCTTATTAGCTGGTCTCTTATATCACTGGAGCATAAACAGCTAACCTGCTGAGGTCAGTCAGGAATTCAATTTTTCATTTAGATTGTTAGTATAATTGCAGCCAAGACTATCTCTTGAAAGGGAACTGGAAAGTTTTGTGTCAAGATATAGACCTGGACACTGAGGTTTAAAATATTGTTTCTGAAAAAACACAAAGGCACCTGAGTTTCCAGCTTTTCACATGGGCTATTTTTTCTTTTTAAACATTATTGTGGGGGCATTTGATCACCATTTGAGAGTATAGACTTTTTTTTTTAAGCAACCATTCAACTAATTATTATTATTATTATTTATAATTTCTGGAAGCAAATATTCATTTGATATGTCTCTTACTTAATGTTAGAAAAGAAATGCAGTGAATAAATAGCTAATGGACCTGCTTTTGTTGCAGAAAGAATCCTTGGGTCTTCCAGATACACTTTTTATTTGATATACTAGAAGAATCCCCCTTCTTGACTTTCCTACCTAGTGACTGGGTCAGTGCTTCCTGGTTCTTCCCTTGAATTTCCTAGGAATGAAAATTAAGAAACAAGTATAGTCATGGATCACTGAGCTGTCAATTTTATGGACTCTCTAGGACATGGGTGAATGAGAAATTTTTAGATAGAAATAAAGCCAATAGCACCAAAGCTCTTTATAATGGTTCATAGACTGGTTGGGATTGGCTGATCTGCTGTCAAATGGTAGTATACTTTATACTTTATAGCATTCACAGGATGATTTTCTCTCTGCATGTTGGTATTTCGGCTAAAAGTCATTAAGGGTTTATGAAAATGTCATATCAAGATAAATGTCAGTTTTTCAAATAGTGTAATCATGATATGGGGATTTTTAAATGGTTCTTTGCAAAACTGACTTTTTCTTAACAAACACTACCTTGTTTGAATTTTTTTACTGTATTTTGCTGGATTGACCAGGAGGCATTGACTTAGGCAGTGTACACTTTACCAAGACAGTATTACTAGGAACTAGTTCTGGCTCTATTTAAATTATTTTTAATGGTGCAAAACACATCACATCACACACACTAATAAGGAATAAACGTGGCTTCAATACTATTTGTACTGATGGCACGTTCCCCTTAATTGCTTCCACCAATACTTTAACAATGGTTGTTTCTTAACAGAATTATTCTTATTAAATATCCCCTTGAAACCTTATTATTGACATAGATTGATAGACTGTACAAACCTAGCCCTTTCAATAACATTTTATATCTATAGTAGGGATGTATTTAATACCTATTAGTCTTCTTGATTTTGGAAGACCCATAGTGTGGACTTCATTAATGCCATTTCCAATTTCCCAATGTGATGTGATTGTATTTCCTGGCCCCTTGTGCTTGGGTGGAGCCATGAGCTGATTTTGGCCAGGAAGTGGGAAAGATACTGACATATGTCACCCTCCAGAGATCTTACTCACCCTGACAGGTGACTACCATGATTATCAGTGCCAGACAAGCCGTTGTTTTGTTTTTGTTTTTCTGAATAAATACAATTATCTGTTTCATGAATACTTCAAGGTATGTCATGACTTTCTTTTGATTACTAGAGACTTTAGGGTCAAAATTGTGGGTCCTCCATTAGCAACTACTCAGGAACGTAGGGTATATATTCTATGTGCTAATGCCATTCAGCTTTATGTTTTTCTTTAATTTTTCCCTTGGTACTAACT